CCGCCACGTCACGCCCGTCGCGCAGAGCTTCTGGAAGGCCGCCGAGAAGTCGTCGAAGAACGCCGCCTGGTCCCTGGCATACTCCTGGATGACCTCCAGCGTCCGAGGGTCCTCCGGCAGCGCGTGGTCTGAGGGCAGCCCTATGTGGTCCCACATGGGGTTGGTCTTGTCGAGCCAGGGCTTGGCAAGAAGGGAGGTATAGTAGGCGTTGTCAAAGGTCGCCGCGTCGCCGAAGCCCTTGCCGCCTGCGATGTGGGGGGGCCGGGAGGCAGGGAGCGGGGTTGAGCCGGGCGGGTGGGGTGTCTTGGTAAACAGGGGGATCAAGCAAGTTGGGGCCCCGTGCATCCTAGTTCGATGCTTGCAGCTGTTGAGCTAAAAGCGCAGCTCGCAGCGAGACAGGGGTGCCCCAAGCGCCAATGACATAGCGACGCCCTTACATGTATGCGCCGTGCCCACCGCAATCTCTTGAGCTCAATAACCATTCTTTCCCTTGGCAGAGCCCCGATAAGATGCTCTTATAACAGCGCTCTCCTCGAAAATCACGCGCACGCGCGCACGCACGGACGGATGCAGACACGCACGCGTGCCCCAGCCACCACCGCCCCCATCACGCGCACCGATCGTGTGCGCCCCCGACAGCGCGACGAGCTCCCTGACGCCGAACCCCTTGTCTGCAAAGTTGTCAATGAGAGCTTGAGGGCCGGAGCGCTCCGACGCCATCCGGCCCGGCGGGTCCGCGGCGCGCGCGTCGGCGCGCCCGATGGTCAGCGGTACCCGCGGCCCGCCGGTGACCGCCACCGCGCGCGCCCCCGCCCACGCGATGAGGTCGGCGTTGGACACCAGGCCGTCCGCCGGGGTGCCCTTGAGCGACGCCTTGGCCTGCGGGCAGGCGGCCGCGGCGGCGCCAAGGAAGTGGAGGGGGGTGGGGCCGGGGATGGCCAAGAGCGAGGCAGGTGCCAGAGCAGGGCCGCGGGCGAAGCGTCGACAATGGCTGCAGGAGAGCAGCCTGCAGTCGACGTTCAATTCAAACTTCTGGTTGGCTGACACCCTGGTTGAGACCCTTCGGTTGCCGCACTATCAAATTCCGTCGGCGCAGCCATGGCCAAAAGACTACCAGCCGCTACGTCCACCCACATTACTGCCACCCTTACCTTCCCCGCACCCCTCCCAAACACACACACACACACACACCACCACCACCACCCGCGACCCCCTCACCTGCTCTACCAGCCGCCAGCCGCGCTTGAGCCCAAAGTTTTCCGGGCGGTCGAGCTCGAATTGTATGGAGGCATTGAGGCCGCCGTCCCCCGCCTTTTTGCTGAAGGTGCCCGCGTCGTGGTATGCGAGCCGCAGCATCAAGGGTGCCTGCGCACATTCCGGGGGTTGGCACAGTGCCCTTGTCGACCGGTTGGCGGCTGGTGCACCTTGGCGCTCCTCTCATCACCAACAACAACATCACCAGGCGGGCACGTCCCATCAACACGCTCGCTGCACACGGCGCCGCGTCAGGCAGCGATCAGCGGCGCGTGCAGCTGCAGCAGGAGCCCAGGCAAAATAAGTTGGCAGCTGCCCCGCACCTTCCCCACGTTAACGACCGAATCGATAGCCTTGTCAATTGCCGCCTTCACCGCCGGGGACGGCACTACGCCCTCGTCAACCCCCGCGAGTGCGTATCCTGGGGCGAGCAGCGGCGGGGATCCAGCGGCGGCAGCGCCTGCCACGAGCCGCAGCAGCGCGCCGCTGGCAGACGGGAGCAGCAGGAGCGCGTGGCGCCGCGCGAGCCCAGAGGCAGATGCGCCTGCGAGGGGGTCGCATGATATGCTACTCGATGCATGCGAGCAACGGCCGAGGCAAATGGGTGAACGGGGATGCACGCGCATCTTGATGCATGCAAGCGGCAGTGCGGCAAGACCGCACCTGTTGCCAGCGGTGCTTCTTCGTCACGGCTGCTGGCATGCCGGCGGCAGCTTCTTGGGCTGACATTAACATGACTTCTGAGACTTCGTGATGGTGCAAAGACCCGCTGATGTCTCAATGACCGACCTGATGCTGCGACATGATCTTGCAACATGTCTGCGTAAGCTGCCTTACGTCAAGAATCGATTGATCGTAGAACTATTAGAACAATGAGGAGGACAGCGTCAAGGAGTGTCACAGCTGCAAGTTTACCGGTATCCACGCGGCAGTGCGTCGTTTATGCTTGATGTCGAGGCTTCCCCTCAGCCAGCAAAGCACCCATAGCCTGATCACTGAAACATAGCCGAGCACAACAGCAACTGGTTGCTTCCTCGGTCGTGTGCTCAGCGGTACCCCGTACACGGCGCTGTGCTATCGTACAGGACCTGCAGTACTGTCGGCCAACAATGGCCGACTAGATTGACGCCCTGTAACCAACAACACGGCTTTTAGAGCCACTGAATTGCCACATCTCTCTTCACTCCACACGTGCAGCCATCGCTGGCAGCCAATACTCCCATTGGCTGGGTCAAAGGGCACGGGTTGACTAAGGCGCGTCGTAAGGCTGAGCTCTGCTGACTTCTCAGGGGCACACCTCAGCACTTCAGCCAGCTCGCGCTTTATACTTGTGTCGACACAACATGAGGGAACTGCGGGCCATGGGCCTGGCCAACCCCTTGACGCCACTGTCACGCCACGTAGGCAACCGGCAAGCAGGAGCCTGGAATGTGGATCCAGCCATGCCAGTGAAAAATGGGAGCCGTGTGTGCACCAGACACGGGGCCTTGTGTGGGTCGGCAGCGAGCCGCTATTGAACCCTGCAGGCCGTGATACGCGCTGCCGTCATCGGCCCTGCAAAATTGGTATGGATGAGTGTTTCCAGTAACGGCCTGCGGCCGCAAGTCGAGCGTCACCTTGTGGCGTCTTTGGCAGTCTGACCCCATAGCAAGCAGCGAAGTGCTAAACGGGCAAACGCCCAGTGGCAGCCGGTGCCCCTTGCGCACCGCATGGGCCCAAGCAGCGGGCGCGTCACGGGCAGTTCGGACATTAAACGCCCACTCATCACGTGCCCTTCCCGAGGTCGCATCATTGATTGGGTCATCGCTCGTTCATAGCGACCTCGGGACGGCCTTTCTGTCTGTGGCGCGGGTCCCGACCAGATCAGCACGTGGCGCAATTACGAAGCGAGCGCAGCTAAGATGGGTCTCCCCGTCCACCCTCTGGACCCTCTGAGCGCTTCGGAGATTGCCACGGCCGCGGAGGCCTGCAAGGCCTACGCCCAGGCCAATGGCGCCGGGCCGCTGCGCTTCAATGCCATCTCGCTTGCTGTGAGTGCGGCGTATGGCTGTTGCGGGGCTTGCCACAACGGCCCACAATCACCCTGTGTTGCTTCTATCAGGCTACGAGCAGCTCGTGCTGTATGCTCCGCAGTCGGACTCTGCAGCCATGCTTGGGGTCACTCTGAAACCCTTCCTGGCCACCCACAGCGCCTGCCCAAAACGCGCCCTTGCCTGGTGCCCCGCGGCTGCCCCAATTGATCCCCATTCACTCCGCCCTGCATCCTGCCTGCCCCTCACCCCCCAGGAGCCCCCTAAGAAGGCCCTCCTCGCCTTTGAGAACGGCTCCGCCCCCGCGCCCCCGCGCGCCGCCTTCTGCATCCTGCACGCGCCCCCCAAGCGCGGCGCCATCGAGGCGATCGTCTCTCTGCCCTCCGGCGACGTCGCCGCGTGGAGGGAGCTCGACGGCGTCACCCCTCTGGCGTCACCCGAGGACTGCACCGACGCGGAGGCGATCGCCAGGGCCGACCCGGAAGTCCAGCGGTTGCTGAAGGAGCGTTACGGCGCAGATCTGGATCTCGTGCAGTTTGACCCCTGTGAGCGGGACTTTGGGATCATAGTGATGATCCACAGTCATGATAGCAAGCAAGAACCTTATATGATAGGATGTCGCGCCGATGGTTGCTGGGCCGCCGGGAGAGGGCGCGCCCGGCCGTCATCCGAGGGGCTCGGCTTATTTCATGCGGCCGGCACGGCCCCTGCGGGGCGCACCGCTGCATGCGCAAAGGAACGCGAGATTTCAAGCCGCCCGCTGGCCGTGCAGCGCGGGCCAAGGCAATGTGCATGCAAAACCTTCTCATCACGAATCCGACGCGTGCGCTCCGAGCGTCGATCCGCCCATGCAGCCGCGTGCGCTGGGCGGCGGGTCCCAGCTGCACCCGTCACCAGCCTGTTCGACCCAGCAGCACCCCCAGCCCTGGGGCGTGCGGCTCTGGCGATTGCCGCTGCAGATTTACGCCACGCGCGGCGTGCGATGGACGCTGCAGGCTCGTCTCGCAGCTGTTTGCCATTGCGTGGTCTTTTGAGCCGCCCCACCCTGCCATTGCCTGACGCGCCCCCGCCGCCCCCGCCCCCTCCTCCCTCACTCGTGCCCCCCGCTCGCCCCTCAAAGGGAGCGTCCACGATGCGCCAAAGGAGCTGCGGGGGCGGCGCCTGATTCAGTGCTTTGTGTATTTCAAGTCTAGGTGGGACCGTGGGGCGTGGTGGGGGGGGTCTGGTCTGCATGGACCAGCCGGCTGAGCTGGGCTGTTTTGCACTGTTCTGGGCTTGGCATGGACAGTGTCCAACATGAGGATTGGTGTGTCCAGTGGTGTGAGCATGCGTGCGCATGCACCGTCGTGCGAGCGTGCCTTTATTTGTGGGTGCACGCGTGCGTGTGTGGATTTAGCAGTGCACCCAGCTGAGCTGGTGGTCGTGAGGGGCTAGTCAAGTCGCGTGGGGCCCCCCAGCCGCACGCCCCAGCACTGGCACACCATCAAAAGAGCAGCAACGTGCACAGCATGGTACCCTGTGCGTGCATGCACGCGCATGCTGCTACGGTGCTTACAGAGGCCGGCGGACCCTCCCACTGCTTCCAGTGAGAACGACAACGCCTATGCCCACCCCTGCGACCTGCTGCCCATCGTTGATTTGGACGAGGCCAAGGTGCGGTGACGCACGCGCGCGACTGCGCGTGCATGCGCGCGCGCGCGCGTGTGTGTGTGTGTGTTTTTGGGTGGGTGAGTGGGTGGGTGTGCGTGGACGTGTGCACGCGCGCACATTGTGAGTCAACTAAAAATGCAGAATGTGTGTGCATGTCAGAAGGATTCAGAGGCAGAGAGACAGAGACACAGAGACACAGAGACACAGAGACACAGAGTGGGTGCATGCGTGCGTGCGTGCGTGCGTGCGTGCGTGCGTGCGTGCGCCGCTGAGATCCGTGGTTTCCAGGCACCAGCCGCACCGCAACGCTCTCAACACCCTGCCACCTCGCTGCCCTGCCCGGCGGCACTCTCTCACCCGGTGACGCCCCTCAGGTCGTCAAGATCGAGATGGATGACGAGCCGTATGACGTGCCCAAGGCCGACCACAACTACCACCAGGTGGGGCCAGCAGCTCGTCCGCTTGATTGCGCTTGTGCTGCAGGATTCTTGACGCCTCATCAGCCATTGTCATGTACAGGTGTGTTGATGGTGCAGGGATGGGATTTTACACAGGCACGAGATGACACATGCCCAGGCGAGCAGACCACCGCGTTCGCCCACCTTGACAAGTTGGTCCTTCGATTTTTGCCGCGCCCGTTCGCATCCATTCTTGGCACCCATTCGCATCCACGACCTGCGACCGGCCCCGCTCGTCGCCCCGCGGCCAGTCAGTCAGGAAGCCCTTTTGAAGGCCGGCCCCTGCCGCCAAGCGCGGCCCCTGCCGCCCAGGCCGACGTTGGCGATGCAACCGCTCCTCTCACCTCCCCAAACACGTACACCACCGCACCGCGCAGGACTTGTTCCCCGGCCCCTGGCGCGACGGCCTGAAGCCGCTGGACGTCCTGCAGCCGGAGGGGCCCAGCTTCACGGTCGAGGGCAACCTCGTGAAGTGGCAGAAATGGCAGCTGCGCGTCAGCTTCAACTTCAGGCGCGTGGCTCCGGGGTTTGCTGGGGGGGAGGTGGTTAGGCAACCGGGGCGTCGCTCCGCGGCGGCTGCTGGCGTGGTCTTGCTGGGTTGGGGCGGCGCCGCACTGTTGCAGCTGGCATGGCACATGCTGCGGCACTTCTCACCATCTTGATTTGATTTCACTCACACCTGCTTGCCTTGTTTGTGTATCATCCTTCGTTTCCGTTGCTCTTTCTCCCTCCCCTTTGTCTCTCCCCTCCTGTCTATCTGATCCTCAATGAGCGCACG